GTCCAGACTCTTTAAAACATTGACAAGAAAAAATACTCTTGATTCAATCAGATTTAAGCTTAAATCAAGAACCAAATCTCTTAATTTGAGCGGATTTCCTTTTGATTTAAGCTCAAATGTGATTGAATCAAGAGTCCTTTTTTCGTCAATGTTTTCAAGAGTCTGGACTCTAGATTTAATGTGTTTTTTTTTCAGTGTGCACCCTCCCTNGCCCCCCCCCCATTTTTATTCAGGAAAAGTGGTATTTTCTTTTTTGGTACGTTTTTTCAAAAACTTTCCTCTCGGCTCGGATTTGTAACGTAACGCTGGGCTTGACCCCCTCCCTCCCCCTTATAACGCCCCGTAACGCGAATGGAATCGCCATTGTGAGATTTATACGGTGGATAAGCATTAAGATCTCGAAAACTGGAAATCCTTCGACAGAAATCCTGGCTGGGACCATTGAAATGACCTCAATGTGATGTTACTATTTGTATAATTTTTTTCGCCTTACCATGCTAATTCAATGTAAGAATTTCCTCAACTACCATCAGTGCAGTGCCAGAAAATCAAAGACTCTCCCCTTCTCCCACATCCTCTCATTGAAATTTTCACAACATTTTGAAGGGTAATATTTAAGTATAATTCTTATTTCTTACACGTTACGTTGAATTTTGTGTAGAAGATTGTCTAATAAGTTAGTTCTTTGACAGAGACCCTTAGAGGTACCTCACACTATCGAGAGCTTTTCGGAATGCACAGTTTTATCGTTGGGACCTTAAAATACTGACGGTATAAGTAAACCCAAAACATGAATATCGCATGACTTGAGCAATCGCCATCACATTAGTCATATGTTCAAGATGTAAATTGTTGGTATTCTCCTGTCCGTGTAATGAAATAGGGTCTCCCGATAATCTTGAACAGTTTATGGCACATGATAATCCTAACAGGGGTAGTCGCCAATTTCTTTCCTCGCAACTATTACAGATGAAACCAAACTGTGATGGCAATCCGTTGGTCATATTTCCAGCTTTAGTACGAAGCTAAACTTTATTTAAAATTGTCTCCGGAAAACTGAGATGATTATTAAATGTAGCTGAAGCATTCGCAACGCACGCTGCAAATGTACCTTTAAACTTAGGTCACATGGAAAAGCACTTGCTTCGATACATCTCTGTAGCTTCCCTTCTTCTACCGGATACTTCTCATGGCGTGGTACTTGTTTTTTTTTATTCAACCAGCAGAAAGTCATGATGGCTGATTCTGTCTGTAGCAGCGTACCTCCATGACCTCCTCGTCGTCATTGAGGTGGAAGCTGACAAGAATCCCACTTGAGAGCAAACGGTGAAAATCATTCGGACACAGTTCGAGTGATTAACATGGATGTGGAAAAATTTGCCCATTAAGGATTTCCAGCAGATCCTGTGTGATTCTTGTCGCGTGATTGTGAGCGTTGTCACACAGGAGAAACGCTAGACTGATGTTTACGAATGTGCCTGTAGTCGCATTTGGGATAAACAATATCGAGTTGAAAATGATTTGAAGTAAGCAAGTCGTAAATTTTCTCGCGTCAAAAATTTGAAGTCGATCAGATGACAGATATATTTTCGAAATACTGTTTCAATTTACATTTGAAAGGGATTTATGTTGAAGAATGTTTTACTTTTCAGTCGATTAACCCGTCAGATTTGTGAATATAAATTTTCCTAAATGACTTAAGATTGTGCACACATACACAGGAAAAAAAACACATTGGATCTAGAGTCCAGACTCATAAAAACATCGACAAGAAAAAGTACTTTTGATTCAATCAGAATCTAGCTTAAATCAAGAACCAAGTCTCTTAATTTAAGCGGATTTCGTTTTGATTCAAGCGAAAATCCGATCGAATCAAGAGTATTTTTTCTTGTCAATGTTTTCAAGAGTCTGGACTCTAGATCCAATGTGTTTTTTTTTCCAGTGAAGGTATTTCAAACAAAATTGCCAAGGGACATTCCTCCTAGTTCGGGGTAATCGTTCACTAAGGCGCAACGACTCACTGGGCCAAGGGCACCAGACAGAGATAAGTCCTTTCTCAGCTCTTTACTGACCGACAAATCCGCCATTGAAAGAGCGTAATGCGAGCGTTTTATCCAATTTTCATGCTCTAACCACTGAGATGAAATATTCCCATCAAGGGTCATACAGGATTGTCCAGTGTTCATTCATTAGAAAGCCATTGAATTGACAATCATAACTGAGATGGCGCAACATCACTCGTAGACCTATTAAGAACTTGGCATTGCCACGGGGGCGGCGGTGGATCTATTTTTGGCGGCAGATTAAAGCCCACTTCCGGCGTTGCCCTCCCGCCGAAGCGCGGCGCTCCATGGTGGCAGAGCCCAAAAAACGATCGTTTCTCCGACGAAGCGATAACCGTGGCACGTTGAAAAAACTGGACGGAACTATTATTGTTTGTATGGACGGCTCCCCCGGCACGACGACCACAATTGTTTTAGAAATTGTCCGTTTTATCTCGAATTTATTTATACATCCAGGGGCTCGATGGTCGGGTTGATTCAGATCCCTCTTCGCCCGATCTGCGCCCCTCCCTGTCTTCTTAGAGAAGTTAATCGCCGCCTCGAATGGAATCGTTCCGTTTCGACAGTCACTCGTACAGGTAGATTAACTTCGGGCGAAGACTGGACCCGAGTCCTAACCTACACGCATACGCTTGACCGCCGAACAGAAGGCGGGCGTCCCAACGACTTGGGTGGAGCTAAGGGATTAGCGCACATCTTACATCGAATTTGAAAAAAGACCTACGTGCAAAATTGCAGGTGTATCAATGCACATTAAGTAAGGACGCATACGAAAATGTCCAAAACAAATTTTGGATTGGGTACCACCTGGGAAGCGGAAGAGGCGACGGGTTTGATGTCCCCTAAAGGGTTGGCGGCAGGGCGTTGACGAAGGGATGTTGCGGTGTCAGTTGCCCGATAACCTCTGGAAGGCATATGTGGCGTTTGGGTGTCGCAGAACGCCAGAGTGCGTTGTAGGAGCGACTTTATATGTTATATACATACGAAAATGTTAGATATTAATCGAAGAAATTGTTGAAGGAAGCGAGGAGTGCTCATAGCCGATTAACGCACCAGTTAACGCTATGGCCTCTAAGGTGTTTTTAACCCTGCTGTAGAATTATTACGTTTGCTTACTGCAATTATCGATGGTAAATTAGTTTATCAGTGCGAGCCTATGTGCAAAAATGCCGGGGAAAAATCTCCTGAGGGCCACCATAGCGTCCTCAATTTAGTGAGGGATCTCAGCATAGAATTACTCCAACCCCGGCTTCTACACGGTTGAATTTAAGCAAACATCATTCACAAATAAATAGTTCCTCTCGAAAAAGGTTCAAATCACATGAAAGAAGTATGTCTTCCTTGCATAGTTCCGTCCGACTTGATATCACTAAGCACGAAAAATATGTCCATGAAGTGGATTCTTAAGACAAAAAAACAACAAACAAAAAGCAATTAAAAAAACAAACAGGTATTCCAGTGGAATCCTTTTGCAGTCGCGCATTTTTCAAAAATTTGCTTCATAGATAGATAGGAAATGATGGAGAGTCAGCAGTGGATGTGTGGCAAAAGTTCATCATTACATTACAGCCTCACAATGAAGGCTATCGGCCGCGCTGGAGACGGATACAACTATAACAACTCAGAAGCACTCGCTTTTGCCTATCTGCTCAGATGAAGGAGAACCGGTTCCGTTGATTGGTTCGTTAGAAACAAGTGATGCATGGCCGCTGCTGGTGCTTATTCCGTTATCCTCTAACTTCGAATTCCACGAACTGGCGCGGCGGTTAAACTACTGAAAAGCGACCGTGGAGGGTTTGATTTCTTACGTATATAAACAAAATAAAAATTAGTAAAATATATTGCTCTGCTACACATTGTTTTGTCTTGTATTCTGATTAGTCAGAGTCGGCAAATTTTCTTGTTGGGAAACAAGAAAACTTTTGCGGTAGACCTCATGCGATTTTAGCGTTTACTCGCCGAACTCGAGAGGGTTTGAATCTATTCTTTGAACTGAGCTTGGATTGATGTCAATTTTGCATCATGCACCATGATGTACAGTGATTTATATCGCCATTGAACTAAAATGTGACGAAAAGTTGACGTCATTAGACGCGTTGGAGAAGCTCTTGACACCACAGTAAGCTCCGCTGAAAGAAATGAAGCTCTGTGATTCCGTCTACATACTTGTCCATCAGACCCCGATTGAAATCACATTTCAAGCATTTAAATGTCGCTGGTCAAGGTTCTAAAAGAGCGCTCACTGACCGCCAGACATTTGTGCCTCATCCACCAGTGCCCAATTAAGTTATATTTCAGAGCTCTTATATGTGGTGACGAATGCTGGTAGTTGAGAATAGACATATCGTTTTCCAGAGAATATTTTAGTTGCATTCGTATCAGCCATAGTACTTTTGAAAAGAGGCGGGAGAGAGAGAAAAATAATAAAATAAAAAATGGCCACGGATTTTTTCAACACTTTCTTCCCTCCTGCAGTTTGTTGAGCTGTGAAGTATAAAAAAAAATAACAAGTAGCCGCGCGGAAAGAGATTTTGGTAGAGTTTTCTTTGGAAACAATGAACGAGTTTTTTTTTCTTCCCTCCTTCTTTTCCTCCGTGCTATGTCGTCGGCTCGTTGCTTGTTAGACTATCACGTTTGAAAGAGTCGGAAGAAAGAAACGCCTTCAAAATGCCTGAGTATGCAATTTATGATGACGAAAACTGAATTGTGATGTGCTAGCTAAGTTAAGTAAGCTTCATAACCATTTTCTAGGCATGCACAACTCAAGCGAAAAAGTAGCCTATTAAAGATCAAGATGCGATATTTCAGGTATTGGTTCAAATATTCTTTTTTGTCATCACATAAGTCAGATATTTAAATACTTTTAGATAGGGTCAATATTTTCTTTTAAAATCCAACGTTGCATCCTTTTATATTAAGAAATTTTCTCTGTTTTAGGAAATGGACTTGATTGGCAAAGTCAGACACCTTCATCCGCCGCATCAACCAAAGGTATGCGACGCTTGATTATTTATAATTGATGATTAGATAGATAAAGTACCGGAAGTACACGTTTAATCCTCATAATTGGGGGCATTTGAAGAACAAAACGAAAAACAGGAATGCTGAATGATGAGCATGGATACTACCACTGAAAAAAAAAAAAAGAAAGAAAAAAAAATCGGTCATGTGAACCGACCGTTCGGTGTTCCATATAATTCCAAATATTCGGTTTGTCAAACTCAACTTTCGGTTCGTGTAACCGAGTGTTCGACCAAATATGACCAAGCTTTGTTCGTCAGTTCACTTTACCGCACAAGTTCAGTTACACAAACCGAATTAGTTGGGATGATATGGAACACCGAACTTTCGGTACATACGACCGAGCTTTTTTTTAGAGATATGATGAAAGACATGTGAATTTACTGTAATATTGACGGTGAAACTCCCAAATCACGTATTTCGTTTCCGGTGTTTTAAAATCTCCGTTCCCATTTATTTTCTTAAAGAAGGATAAATCAACATCATTTCTTGAGGTTTTCACGAAATTTTCTTCACGTAGAGAAGAAAAATCACGGAATTTTTAAAAAATTGAAGCTCAGTAGTGTTTCATTTAAAGAATTAATGATGACAATAACTCCGTAACGTTGCAAACCGAGATACGTGGTATAGGAATTGATGAACGTGGAAATAATAGGAATGAACATGGTCAAACAACAGAAATCAACTACTACAACTGTGAAATTGCTTAATTTTCGCAATCATTATGTTAGAGGCTGACCAGTTAACATGAGCGTAAAACGCGAAGAGTATGATTCATGAGCTAATTCAGTCGCATACACATAAACATGTCTAAACAGACTGTGACAAGCACCTATATCTTGTCCAGTGCCGATATCCAATATCTTGTCCATTAGACCCTCCACTAATCTTTTGGCGACAGGTGGAAACTTTTGCTTTCGAGGACTCAACCTTCCTCATGGACAGTCATATGAAGGGCAGAAGTCTCACGAAAAAATTGTTGGATTATACCTATTAATTCATATAATTCGAACATTTGGAAGTGATTTTACAAAATCATCAATAATATTAAAGTTATAAAGTTTTTAGCGTCATCACCCTTGTGGCCGTTGACCTGCCTATTACATAGATGATGCGTTTAGGGTAAAGTAATGTCCCGAGCAATTTGGCTTGTTTGGAGAATGAAATACTCAACATGTTGCTCAACATCCACCAAGTATATAGGTCCATAGTTGAAAGTTGAGGCGAAAGTAAAAGCTCCCACCATTGCCAAGATACCGATCGAGGGTCACTCCTCGCCTCTGGGCAAAACTGTTACAAGCAGCTATTACGGCTCCTGAGCCGCTTAGATTGCCTAATCGAGTTAATGAAGGCGAACAGGTCAGGTGAAGGCAAAAAACAATGTAGATGGTAACTGTTAAGTGACTAAAAGTACGGAACTGAATGAATGTGACACGCATGTTGCTAACAACTACTGCTCTCCAGCCGCTCACATCGCCCAATCGATTTTTGTAGGCCAACTAGTCAGAGCGCAGGATGCTGCTGTTAAAATTTTGATGAATTTCACGGTGCGTTTTAAACAATTTTAATGCGGTCAACATACCACCCGCGATTTTTTTGCGGAAATGTCAACTAGAAGGCCTACTGATTGAGGAACAACAAACCGCGACATCTGTGATGGGGCCGTTTTTGAGAAAATGCGATTTTTCGCTTTTTTGGCGGGAATTTCGGGTCAAGGCGCTGAAAAAGTCAAGTTAGGCTATTTTTGTAGTTCGTAAATGCATATCCTATACATTTTGAGTCAATCAAGTGCCAGTAGATAGCTATTCGTGCATATTGCCCAAAATTCATATCCTTAAATCCACGACTTTTGGGTTTTTGGGGGGTTAGTCATGGAGAAATCCGAAAAAAAGAGGGTTAACCCGGAACAAATTGCTTAACAAACTTCTCCTACGTAAACTTCTTCAGTAGGTCCTATTGAACAACATACCAAAAGTTTACCACGGTTCGCTCCCGGAACACCCCCCAAATTGCCTAAATTTCAAAATGGCGGCCATAATAAGGCCTCTGGGAGTTCGATTTTTT